AGAAGACCTTAGACATTGCCAAGTTCAGCTACTAGCTTGAGTATAGTCTTGGCCCCCTCTGGACTACAACTCCATGTAATGACCCTGAGGAAATACTTTCTTATTTGTCCCAATGAAGCCCAGAAAATGTCACATCAATGTCATTGATCTCTTACTAATTGTGGCTGTTTGGCCCCAGCTGACCAGCACCACAGATTCTTAAAGAAAACATAAAGGTGGCACATGCCTTTAATCCCAGTACTTGGGAGGCAGAGGAAAGCAGAGCTCTGTGAGTTTGAGGATAGCCTGGTCTATAGAGTGAAAGCAAGAGTGAGGGCTGGGCTTGTCTAATAAAAAATAAAAAAAGAAGCCGGGCGGTGGTGGCGCACGCCTTTAATCCCAGCACTCGGGAGGCAGAGCCAGGCGGATCTCTGTGAGTTCAAGGCCAGCCTGGGCTACCGAGTGAGTTCCAGGAAAGGCGCAAAGCTACACAGAGAAACCCTGTCTCGAAAAACCAAAAAATAAATAAATAAATAAATAAAAATAAAAAAAGAAACCGGGCGGTGGTGGTGCACGCCTTTAATCCTAGCACTCGGGAGGCAAAGGCAGGCGAATCTCTGTGAGTTCCAGGCCAGCCTGGGCTACAGAGTGAGTTCCAGGAAAGGCACAAAGCTACACAGAGAAACCCTGTCTCGAAAAAACAAAAGAAGAGAAAGAAAACATCACACAAATGGCCTGACTCTTTTCTTCCCTCTGAAACTTCACAAGCCAGACCACCACTGTCTGCATTTTGCTCAGTAATAATGTCTAAGTTCTCCTAAAAACAGCCCATTAAGTTCCCATGATCAAATCTCGCACACCGAGTGAAAGGATCCAGACATGAGTATACGCTGTTGGAGTCCACTTGTAAGAAGTCCTATCTGGGTCATGATACACATTTATATAATGACAGAAGGTGACTTGGTGGTTGCCTAGGGTGAGTTGGGAGTGTTGAGCACTGGAGAAGACATCTTCAGGATTCTTACTTGTGGCATCCCCATTCTCTTTCCTGTACCTCTCTTAGAATGACAATACAGCAACTCATTCTCTTTGAATGTGTCTATTTCAATTAGGCTTACATTACTATAATAATGATGCTGAACATGATAATAACAATAGCAACATTCACTGACTTATTCCTACATGTTGAGCATCTCCTAGAACTCATGGAATCCTGACAACACAAGGAGGTGGGACTCTCACCAAACACACCATCTTTACATTTGAAGACACTGGGGCTTAGAGGGGTTGATTAACTTGCCCAGGATCTGACAAGTGGAGCAACACTGTTAATTCTAAAAGTCGAAGCTCTTACCCATCATGCAAGATTTACAAGATATCTGTTAGTGGACATAGAAAAGAGGCCCAGGACTAGGGATATACAGGATTTCCCTGGCATTCAGGAGGCTCTGAGTTCAACCCCTGGCACTGTATAAATAGGATGGGTAGTAAACCTTGGGAGGTGGAAGCAGAAGAATCAGGAGTTCAATGTCATTACATATCGAGTTCAAGGCCAAGAGGGGCTACATGAAGACTCTGCCTCAAAAATGAGTGAAATAGGGCTGGAGAGATGGCTCAGCGGTTAAGAGCACTGCCTGCTCTTCCTGAGGTCCTGAGTTCAATTCCCAGCAACACATGTTGGCTCACAACTCTCTGTAATGAGATCTGGTGCCCTCTTCTGGCCTGCAGACAGAACAATGTATACATAATAAACAAATCTTTAAAAAAAAATGAGTGAAATATATAATTAAATCCAACATGAGCATCAGGTATATAGTACATTAGGCTTGGGTGTGAGGCTCTTGGTTCAATCCCCGACACCACATAAATTAATAAAGGCAGCCGAAGAGTACAGAAAGCCTTTGGCTTGTGGACCTTCCCACTACGCACATTCCATCTGCCCCAGCATAGCTCCCGTATACTAAGTCCAAACTGAAGTCCCCTAAGCTCCTCCTATCAAGCCCTGCATTTATTTAGCTTCCCAATTAGGATTCCCACTTCTGAGTGACTATCTTAACACATCATTCCTCCTTCCTGCCTCAAGGTCATTAACTCTACACAAGAACCCAAAGGCATGCCAGAAGATTCATCATGGAATTGCAGAATCCTGACACAGAGGAAGCAACTGAAGTGCATAGAAGGCAGGACCTTTCCTCCACAGCTAAGACGGCACATACTAACACCAGCAACCATGCCTGAAAGGAACACTGTATCATATCAAAACTAAGGAAGGAGCCTTAGTCACTTAGAGTGGTCACACACTCTTTAATCCTGCCTAGGAGACAAAGGCAGGCGGATTCCAGTGAGTTCGAGGCTAGCCTGGTCTACATAGAGAGTTCCAGGCAGTGAGACCCTGTCTCAAAATCAATCAATCAAACAAACAAAACTACAAAAGTACACTGTGAACAAGAGTCCATTCAGCAAATCCTTCAAACAGTTGAGTAGTCCAGGCTTGCTCCTTCGCTTGCTTTGTTTGTGAGACAGAGCCTTGCTGTGAAGTCCTGGCTGGCCTGGAACTCCTTTTTTGCTTGTTTAACATTAACTTTATTTGTCTCTGATAGGGAGGACAAGCAAACCCACATGGGACATGATTCCAAGCCCTAATTCATTACCAGAACTAAGTAAAACTCTCTCTTCCATCTCCTGTTAGCACTATATGGAATGTACTTTTTTCCTTATCCTGTTTTCTTACAAGGACAAAACTCCCAGATGTATAGTGGTGACATCCTGTCCCTCAAGAGCAATTGGCCACTTTCCTGTGTTTACATTAGAAAAAAATTTCGGAGAATTGTCATCCATATGACTACTAGAAAAAAAAATCCAAACCACTTGAGTAACATTCAAAAGGACCTTGTTTCTCTACACCTTACCCCATAGTTCTGGGGACAAAACCCAGGATCAAGCACATGGCAATACACCCTCCATCACTGAACTATGACCCTAGCCCAAGGCTATTCTTTTTTCTGTCAAATGGCAACCTGAATCTCTCTCTTTCTTTCTTTCTCTCTCTCTCTCTTTCTCTCTGAGACAAGGTCTCACTATGTAGCTCTGGCTATCCTAGAGCTCACTCTATAGACCAGGCTGGCCTTGAACTCACAGAGATCTGCCTGTCTCTGACTCCTGAGTGCTGGGATTAAAGACATGCATCACAATGCCTGACTCTGAATCTGTCACTTTTCTTCTTCTTCTTCTTTTCTTCTTCTTCTCCTCCTCCTCCTTTTTTTTTTTTTTTTTTTAAATAAGGACTCATGTAGCTTAGGCTGTCCTGGAACTCCTGGTCGTCTGGCCTTAGCATCCCAGGCACTGGAATTACAGTTGTGGACTACTGAACTCATTTGTTTGTTTTTTGAGAGAGGGTTTCTTTGTGTAGCTTTGGAGCCTGTCCTGGAACTCTCTCTGTAGACTAGGCTGGCCTTAAACTCACAGAGATCCACCTGCCTCTGCTGGGATCAAAGGCTTGCGCCAACCACTGCCTAGCTATTGTACTAATTTTTAATTTATGTTGTTTGGTTGGATTTTGTTTGTTTGAAGACTGGGTTTCAGTCAGCAGTGGTGTCCCATGCCTTTAATCCCAGTATTTGGGAGGTAGAGGCAGGCAGATCTCTGTGATTTTGAGGCCAGCCTGGTCTACAAAGTGAGTTCCAGGACAGCCAGGACTGATACATAGAGAACCGCCCTACCCCCACCCCTACTTCCAAAGACAGGGTTTCATGTTCCTAGGCTGTTCTAGAACTCATTTTGGAGCCTCTACCTCAGAGTGTACCACCATTCCCAGCTTCTGCGCTGCTGGCGATTAAACCCAGGGCTTTATGCAACGGAGCTACAACTGAGCTTTATCTCCAGCCCCATGAATCTCACTTACTGGTGGCCGCCGCCTCCTCATCTGTCTCCCCTTCCAATTTCAGCTTTTGGCTGAAAAGTTCCCACAACTTAGGCTTCCGTTCTAGTAGAATGAAGTCCCCTCACACTCATTGTTGCATTCCAACTAAAAAGTTAACACACATTCACACATAAAAAATTAGAGATAACTGCATCAACACAACAGGCACACAGTCTTGACTTGGAAGCATTTTTGCAAAGTAGGCTGACAGTTGGATAGAAAAGCCGTTTCAAAATTGCAACTGCAAACAACAGCAACAACAACAAAGAAAAAATAAGCAACAAAAAAACCGAGGCAAAGCGGCTGCAGCAATACACCCCTTAGAGCGCTATGATAATTCAAGCTTGAAGTTTGTACTGATGGAATGAAATGCAAATTTTAATACTGTCTTTGAACGAAGTTTACCACAAAACCCGATGGCCTGTGGATCTCTGTACTGCCTCTTCAGGAAGAAGAAATCACCCCAAAGTTTTTCCATTCAGTTCCCGGGTAACGTTTCAAGTACATTCAGCAGATATTTTCCTAGTTCTCAAAGGGTTTGACAAACCGCTTTCAGGAAAGTGGATCTGATCTTTCCCAGATTTGGAAAGAACTTAGGAGAAAAGGAAAAGTCCTTCACAAAAGCCGGTTTCTTCCCCATTGCCTCTTACCCACGCCCCTCAAAGCGCATGGGCGCCGGCTCTCAAGACACCTCTACTGAGGGTCTCTACGTGAATTGACGGGCACCAAGGCTACAGGAAATATTACTAACTTTTTTGGTTCCGAGATAGAAGTAAAGGGCAGGAGTTGACTATGAAGACCCGGCTTCAGGGGCCGTTACAAAGGACTCTAAAGGCCCAGTCACTGTGCATTCCCCCTTGCTTAGCACAAGAAGGGGCACTGGGCTAACGCTCCCAAAGGCGGGTATCCTAGGGCCGAGTGCGGGGTGCTTACCAGGCCCTGAAGGCCAAACGGACCCAGTCCTCCAGCAGACAACCTCGGCCCGGAAGCCAGCGTCGGGAACACCGCGGCCGCGCTTTCATTGGTTCCATGCAGCCGGAAGTGCGTGCGTCTAGCGGAAGTGCTCCTCCGGCGTGGTCCGCCCGGCCGAGGCTGTCAGGGGCGGGGCCCCTGGTTCCAAACACTAGGATCCGGTGACCAGCGGCGGGCGGGGAACACGAGGGCAGGACGAGGTTGTCCTGTTCCTGATCAAACGCGAGAGGCGTTTCGCAGGACTCCGCGACACAACAGGTGACCACCGCCTGCGGGAACCCGGCCTCGGCGAGACCTGCAGACCGCAGCTTCGAGTTCTTCCGCGGGGAGGAGATTGGCGCCCGAGGGTGCCGCTTCTCTTTTAATCCTGTCCCCGCTTGGTCCTGGGTCGAGCGCTGCTCGCATCCTGCCCCGAGAAGGTGTGCTTTCTGCCTTTGCCTTTCGTACTTTTGAGTTTGACAGGCTTTCCTCAAGGCGTTCCCTGGGTGCTGTGGCCTCACCAGAGGAAACCTCAGAAAAAGCTACAGGAGGCACAGTTCAGGAATTACCCTCTCTTGCGTCTTCCTAGGAGTGGAGAGTGTATTTCAATTACAGGCTATTTAAGGGGAAATTATCTGGTCGGCTGTAGGCCAAATTCATATCTAGCAAATAAAACTACTTCATAGTTTCCCTTGGTCTAGCCAACTCCACCCCTAGGAGGTTTGCAGTTTGAGCCTCCTGTAAACCCTATGAACAATTACGCTTTCCTCAAATTGACGACACTCAGGACTTCCAAAGTTGGCGGTTTGTGCAGTTTGAGAAGCCGGGTGAGCATGAATGAATAACTTCACTCCAGATGACAGTATTTGAGAGCCATTTCTGCAGTTTTGAGGAAAATGCACCTCTTTTCTTCAGTACTAGGTGGTGCCAGTGAGTTAAATCTTTCTGGCCTAAATCTGTAGCGTGTGGTGAAAGCTTTTTAAAAAGCCTCTATAGTCCCTGAAATTTATTCAGAATAACTTTGCTTCTTGAGACTGTATTGATGCTTGGGGATGTGGCCTGTTGATAGGGTGCATGCTTAGCATGCTGGTTCTTCCCATTTTCCCCCAAAAGGAGATAGATAAATTTTTCTATTAAGCAGTAATAACTTACTGGGCAGGGGATATATCTTAATGGTAGAGTGCTTGTCTAGACATGAATGAGGCCCTGGATTCAATCACCTGTTCTGGGGGGGAAAAAAAAAGGCTGGGCAGGTTGGCACATACTTCTAATTCTAGAAATAATATAGTCTTTTCAGTTTGGGGGGTTTTGGTTTGTTTTGGCTTGCGGTTTTTTGGGGGGTGTTATTTATTTATTTATTGATTGATTGGTTTTTACTTTTTGGAGGCAGGGTTTCTCTGTGTAGCTCTGGCTGTCCTGGAACTCACTCTGTAGACCAGGCTGGCCTCGATCTCAGAGATCAGCCTGCCTCTGCCTCCCAAGTGCTTGGGATTAAAAGCGTGTGCCACCTCTGCCACCAGCACCCAGCATTTTATATTTTCTTAATTTTGAATTGCACTGATATTTTGAATCTTAAGTAACCAAATGCAATGTACTACATGTGGGTTTATTGTTCTTACAGTGATTAAAATGGCTTCCAGAGGAAAGACAGAGACAAGCAAATTAAAGCAAAATTTAGAAGAACAGTTAGATAGACTGATGCAGCAATTACAAGATCTGGAAGAATGCAGGTAACAGTATAATTATATGTTGTTACTCTGTTTCTGGTAGAGAGAGTTCAAGCTCCATGGACTCAGGCTCATGTGTGATTTGGGTCTCCTCTGTAGGATTTTACAGCACTTTGCCTATTGGAGAAGGAAACTTCTCAGACTTTGGAGTCATAAAGCCTGAGATATGGAAGACTTAAAATACTTAACCTCCTGGAAATAACAAAGCTGACTTTGTTTTTAGTATTTAAAACAGCTCTGCCTAGAATGAATTCCCGGCTAATTGCTCAAAATACTATGATTGGGCTGAGGGTGTGGCTCTGTGGGTGAGTGGGTGCCTAAAATGCTAGAGGCTCTGGACTCAGTCCCTAGCATCGAGGAAGAAGAGGGAGGGAAGAGAGGGAGAGGGAGGTTATATGCCCCTATAATCCCAGCACATGGGAGGTGGATGCAGGAGAATCCGAAGCTCAGAGTCCTTCTTGGCTCCCTGGTGAGTTCTATGCCAGCCCCAAAATATGAGACCTGTTTCAATAAAGCAGAAGAAAACAACAATTAATTGTAGCTTTTAGTAGCCTCACAAGGATGTTGTAAATATGTAAATGAAAGGTACGATACAGTGCTTGGCCAAGAGTAAGTGCCCGGTAAATAGTAGTTCACTGTGTGGAGTTGTTGTTACTTGTAGCAAATATTTAATAAGCAGCTTGTTGGGTAAATAAAATAGCCTTCTACTCAGAAGACAGGTGTGCTGCTGCCATTGATGAGCTGATGCTAATAGCAACTATTTAACATTACTGTAGACACCAGGCATTTACTTCTTAAAGAGCCCTTAGGAAAAGGCACTATAATTATCTCAAGTTGTGCAGACAAACTGAGGTTTGGCTCTGTTCATGCCATGCCTAGGGTTATACAACTGATCACTTAAATAGAAGTTACTGTGTGCCTGGAGTGTGCCTCATAGCTGGGGGCAGATAACACGCCTGAGCCCTGGGTTTGGCCACACTGGAAGACAGTGAGGATGCCAGGAGCTTACCTCTGCGGCCATGTGTGCCACTACGGCTGGTGTCCGCTCTAGCCCTGCTCTCGGTCAGGTGGGGAGATGTTCAGACTGAGACGTGTGTGATTTTCTTTCTGCACTCTGATGGAACACTGCTGCAGGGAGGAGCTTGACACCGACGAGTATGAGGAAACGAAAAAGGAAACCTTGGAGCAGCTGAGTGAGTTCCACGATTCCCTGAAGAAAATTATGTCGGGGAATATGACTTTGGTCGATGAACTCAGTGGGATGCAGCTGGTAAGAAGGATTTACTGATTGATCGCTTGTTTTTTTGTGTGAGTATATTTCAGATAGAAAATGTACGCTTTGAAGGCTGAGGATGTAGCTCTGTGGTAGTGTACTTGCCTAGCATGTACAAGACCCTAGATATATCCCAACACCACAAAATAAAAAAGAAATAAGTAAATGAAAAAAAGAAAGAAAAAGTGCTATGTTTACGAGATAGCTTTTTGATTTTGTGTCTACTTGGCTCTGGTAACGTGCTCAGAAATGGCAAATGAATACCAATTTGAAGCACCAAAACCTGTGACGACTCCCCAGTCGAATGTTGCAGATGTAACTGTGTGGAACGTTTTCACCAGTCTTTGCATTGCTGTGTTTCTAGGCTATCCAGGCAGCCATCAGCCAGGCCTTTAAGACACCTGAAGTCATCAGGTTGTTTGCAAAGAAACAACCAGGTCAGCTTCGGACAAGGTTAGCAGAGGTAAAGTTTCTTCACGCTGATCCAGTTGCTGTGTGTGTGTTCTTCTTCCTAGCCCGTGACTGTACTTATTGTACTAGTCTACCATTTAGAATTTGCCCACTTGGTGTTAGAGCCACGGCCCTTGGTTTTCTGACAGTTTGTACCTTGGGCAATTATAATTCATAATAAATGAATGCTTGAACAGTATGTGGCCATTTAAATCACCCCGACCACTTCTCCTTGGCCTCCACCTTTAATATTTTGTCCTTACTTCTGGGGCCCTAGCTTGAGATCCTATTTGGAATGATGTGTATGTATGTACTTAAGTACATGTGTGCACATGTATGCAGGTGCCCTCAGAGGCATCAAATGCCCTGGAGCTGGAGTCACAGGTGGTTGTTAGCTGCCGATGTGAGAACTGGGAATTTGACCTGAGTCCTCAGAGAGCAGTACACAGTCCTAACCACTGAGCCGTTTCCCCTGCTTGTCAAGTGTCTTTTTTGTTCTGTTTTTTGTTCTTCATGACAGGGTTTCTTTGTGTAGCCTGGCTGTCCTTGGAACTAGCTCTGTAGGCCAGGTTGGCCTAGAACTCACTGAAATCCACCTGCCTCTACCTCCTGAGTGCTGGGATCAAAGGCGTGCACCAACTGCCTGGTTTTTTTTTCCTTTCTTCCTCCCCCTCTTCCCCCCGGTTTGCTGCCAAGCATCTTTATAAACTTATTACTTCCAGAAATCTGTCTATGACTTGAATATGATTATGGACTAACCGGTAATTTCCATCTACAAGTAATTCAGTAGAATAGTGAGAACATAGCTTTAGGGAATGGAGAGATGGCTCCATTGGTAAAGTGCCAGGTGAGCAGCACACACCTGTGGTCCTACCACTGGGGAGACAGAGACCAGAGGGTCCCTGGGGCTCTTGCAGTGAGAGACCCTGACATTGACCTTTAGCCTCACCCAAACACTTTGTATACACATGAAGGAAAATCAGATTGAGATGAAATCGGTTGGGGGGCTGGAGCAATGGCTTGGCGGTTAAGAGCACTGATTGTTCTTCCAGAGGACCAGTGTTCAATTCCCAGCACCCACATGGCAGCTCACAATCCTCAGTAACTCTAGTCCAGGGTATCCAACACCCTCACATAGACATTCATGCAGGCAAAACACCAATGCACATAAAATAAGAATAAATAAATTATGAAAAAAGAAGAGCTCAGTTGGGTTTGAGTTCCTGCTGTCGGTACTGGGTGGGGCACACGACCTTTGGCAAGTTGTTGAATTCACCCTTGTACCTTGTGCCTTGATTTTCTTATCTGTAAGGTGATTATGACAGTTTCTACTTGTGGTTGTCATGTGGGTTTGGTGACACTTAGAAGCTGGCTGTAGTCCCAGCTCCTTGGGAGCCAGAGGAAGGAGGATCATTTGAGGCCAGCCTGGACAACATAAAAGACCCTGTCTCAAAAATAGGAAGGGCCAATGAGGTGGTGCTTTGGGTCAAGGCACTTACCACCAGGCCTGATGACTTGAATTCCATGCTTCGGCCCACATGCTGAAGGGGGAGAACTGACTCTTGAAAATTGTCCTCTGAGCTCCATACATGCACCGCAAACACAAAATAAATAAATAGATAAAAATGAAAAAAAAAATGTAGGCTAGGCATGTAACTCAGTAGTAGAGTTCTTACCCAGCCTGATCAAGGCACTGGATTAAATCTCCAGCAGAATAAAAATGAAATACACTTTAAGATTTTTTTGCTGGACAAGGTGGTTCACACCTGCAGTCCCAACACTTGAGAGACTGAGACAGGAAGATTGCTTTGAGTTCAAGGTCAGCCTCTCAAAAAACCAAAATAATAGATAACTTAAAAAATCCTCATGTTGGTGAAATGGCTCAGTGGGTAAAGGCACTTGCCATGCAGACCTGAAGACCTGAGTTCAATCCCTGGGACCCATGTCAATGCAGAATGAGAAAACCAGTTCCACGTCCTCTGACCTCTGCATGCATGCTGTGGTATGCATGCTCACATGCATATAGTACACACACACAATAACCCATACAATTTAAAAAGATAAAGAAAAAAAATCCTGTCTCCACAAAAATAAAAGTTTTTAGAAAGCAGTTTCTTTCCAGTGGAAGCTGTTGATCTCAGTAGAGTTTACGTCTAAACAGTGTCTATGCTATGAATTCAAATTTAGGAGCCAGCAAGATGGCTTAGTGTGTGGTGGACCCATGTCAAGGAGGAAGGAGGGAACAGACTCCACAAGTTGTCCTCTGAGCTCCACGTGTGCACTCTGGAAAGCGCACACTCTGTACACATGCATTCAAAACAATGATGATAATTTTAAACTGTATGAAAACTGATCTGATGTGGTGGCTCGTACCTGTAGCCTTAGCGGTCAGGAGTGTTGTAGAACGGGTGTGGGTTCACACAGGTCCGTGGGAAGAAGACACAGGGTACTTTGAGGATGTCTTTAACCTTTCCAGCTGCAGGAGGATTCAGCCTCTAGAGGGACAAGACACCTTCCCTCAGCCAAAGACATTTTTATTGCTCTTCAAATTTACAATTCTAGCAAGTTGATCTCCATATCCCCAAAACATCCTGATAAAGCTTCCAAGGGGGACAATGCCAAATGCAAATTCTTGATTATGGAATATCACAGTGTGCCAGATTTTTCCCAGCCACGTTTCTCATACACTTTGTACTCTTGGGATACTCAGGCAAGATTCACATAGAGGACATGAGGGAAACAAAGGTATCCAAGAAACAAAAGGTGGATTAAGGTGAGGTGCTGGCACCCTGGAGCCAGGCCGGGTGTGACCCAGGCCAGGTGTGACCCAGGGCAGGTGAGACCCAGGGGCAATTCTCCCATCACAGGAGTCTGAGGCAGGACCACAGAGTGAGACTTTGTTTTGAAAAACAAAAATGGAGTGTTAAAACTGTTTTAGGCCAGCAAGATGGCTCATTGGTTAAGGGTTCTTGCCACCAAGCCTGACAGCCAGACCTGAGTTTGATTTCCCTCTCCAGACCCACACGGTAGAAGGAGAGAAGTTGTATTAACAAAACAGTTTTTTGTCTTAAGCAGTAGGACTGAGCTCGGCAGTGGTGGCACACGCCTTTAATCCCAGCACTGGGGAGGCAGAGCCAAGTGGATCTCCATGAGTTCAAGGCCAGCCTGGTCTACAGAGTGAGTTCCAGGATATGCTCCAAAGCTACACAGAGAAACCCTGTCTCAAAACAAACAAAAGGAAAGGAAAGAAGTAGGACTGGAAAGCTGGGTTTCCTGTACAGAGTGGCCTTTGCTCCTGTGCATATGCCTTGCGTTTGTCTTTCTAGATGGATAGAGATCTGATGGTGGGGAAGCTGGAACGGGACCTGTACACCCAGCAGAAGGTGGAGATTCTAACCGCTCTCAGGAAGCTTGGAGAGAAGGTCCTGCCACTTGATGTGATACACTGGTAGAACATTTGTGTTGTGCCTGCTACGGAGTGAACTGCCCTGTGATGTGGTCTGGAGAGCTAAGAATTTTTTTAAAAAAATGTTTTTAGGTTTATTTTATGTGTGTGAGTGTTTTGTCTGCTTGAATGTATACTATGTATGTGTGTGCCTGGTGCCCAAGGATGTCAGAGACAGCATTGGATCCCCTGGACCTGGAGTTACAGGTGGTTGTGAGCCAACATGTGGGTGCTGGGAGTGAACCAGGCTCCTCTGCAAGAGCAGTAAGTGCTTTTAACTGCTGAGCCTTATCCAACCCCTAAGACTTCTTCACTGTGGCTCCTAGAACTTGCTCTGACATTTGGAGTCACTCACTGTACTTTGTCTCATCTGTGTAGCTGACAGAAGATGATGAGGCCTTCCTGTCGGCCAATGCCGGTGCTGCACTCAGCCAGTTTGAGAAAGTCTCCACAGACCTTGGTAAGTGAGTTCCCTCTTCGTCCTCCCTGCCCTCCTCCCTCTGCTCGATTTCACTCCTTCTCTTCTGTCCAGCTGTCTGTCTTTTTTCTGAATAAACATAGATTTATCAAGGAAAAGTAAAAGAACTCCCAAGAGTAGAAGGGTCTCTAAGGGAGAAATAACTTTTTTTTTAATGACGTGGGTGATTAAACCCAGGACTTGGGCATTCTCGTTCTTGAAGGCTGGGCTTATACCACAGCTCTATACTGACAGAACACACTTAAGACAACATAATGACCTTTCCTTGAGTTTAAAGTCACAGAATTATTTTATTTTTAATTTTCTTTATGTGTCTGTGCGTGCATGTGTTTGTGCATATGAGTGCAAGTGCCCAAAGGGGCCAGAAGAAAGCACTGGATCCCCTGGAACTTGAGTTAAAAGGTGGTTATGAGCTACCCATTGGGCACTGGGAACTGAACCCAGGTCCTCTGGAAGAGCAGCCAGCCCTCTTAACCATTGAGCCATCTCCCCAGCCCAGAACTGTTTTCTTCCTAAATCCTTTAGTTGGTTTTATTTTAAGCTCTAAAGAGATTTATTTCTTATTTACGTGTGTGTAGTACATATACACATATTGTGTGCAGATACCCACAGAATGGAGCGTTAGATCTCTGGGACCTAGAGTTAAAAGACGTTTGTGAGCCTTCTGATGTGGGTGCTAGGCTCCAGTTAAACTCCTCAGATAGCACACTAATCATTCTTAGCTACTGGACGGACTTTCTAGCCTCCCACACTTCCTCTTTTCCATGCAGGGTCTTACCAGGGACCCTCATCTAGCCTTGAACTTAGGATCTCTCTGCCTTGACCTCCCAAGTGCCAGAACCATGAGCATGGACCACCCACTTTGCTCTAATACTCTAAAAGAAAAATAAAGTAAGACAGATGAACTTTCAACAAATTACATGCCATGGGGCTGGAAAGATAGTTCAGAGCACTGGCTTCCAGAGGGCCTGGGTTCAATGTCCAGCACCCACGTAATAACCCACTACCATTTGTGACTCTAGGTCCAGGGGATCTGATGGCCTCTTCTGACCTGTAGGCACCAGGCATGCACATGGTGCATATCCATATGTGCACACAAAACACCTATACACAGAAATAAATTTTTAAAAATTACATACCTTTACTTTAAATTTTTTTCTTTTAAGCTGGAGGGTGGCGGGGGGCGGGGGCGGTGGTGGTGGCAAATGCCTTTAATCCCAGCACTTGGGAGGCAGAGGCAGGCAGATCTCTGTGTGTTCAAGGGCAGCCTGGTCTACAGAGAGAGCCAGGGCTACACAGAGAAACCCTGTCTCCTAAACAAAATTCTTTTAATTATTTGTGTGTGCGTGTGCATGTGTGTGGGTGTGTGTGATGCACATGTCACAATGCAGGTGTGGAGGTTGGAGGACAGCTTGCAGGAATTGGTTCTCTTCTACCATGTGGGTCCCAGGATTAAATTTAGGTTGTCAGGCATGAGGACAGGTGCCTTTACCACTGAGCCATCTAAACGTCCCCCACCCCACCCCCAGCCGGGTTTCTCTGTGTAGCCTTGGCTGTCCGGGAACTAGCTCCGTAGACCACGCTGGCCTTGGCCTTGAACTCACAGAGATCCTCCTGCCTCGGCCTCCCAAGTGCTCAGGTTGAAGGCGTGCTCCACCACTGTGTGCTCCCTTTCCTTTTGGAATGACCCTTCACTGTCTTGTCCAGGCTGGCCTTCAACCCTCAGCTCTCCAGTAGCCAAGACTGTGCACACACCAACACTCGCAGCTTTTTCTTTCCTTTTTTAAAGAATTACTTATTTTAAAAGTTTACATGTATGAGTGTTTTGCTTACATGTATATAGTGGCTTAGGAGTCCATAAGAGGGCATTGGGGCCCCTGCAACTGGAGTTCCAGTTGTGAACTGATGCGTATGCTAGGAACCAGACCTGGGTCCTCTAGCAAATGCTCTTAACCACTGAGCTAGCTCCTCAGCCCCAATATGCCCAGCTTTGCAGCGACTGTGTTACAGTACCTGTCAGCAGCATGTAACTGTAAAAGTGAGTTAGGAGTTTATATACTTGCCTTCACACCTGGAGCTGAGTTAGGGTTCATCCCAGTAAGCCATTCTTGTGGCAGGATTGTTCGTCAGAGGGAAGGAGTTCCAGATGGCAGCCGCCATTGTCAGGATGAACGTGTCTGATTTCTGTTCTTTATGTGTTATGTCCCCTTGTTACCTGGGATTGTGAATGCTTTGAAATAACCTTTGTATTTTGTGTCTTTTCCTAGGCTCTGGAGATAAGGTCCTTGCTCTGGCAGGTTTTGAGGTTGAAAAAGCCAAGAAATGACAGTGTGGCGATTGGCACCCCCAGACCCCTCCTAACCGCACACAGTGCTTTCATCCCGAGGACTTGGAGGCATTGCAAAGACATAGAGGTTCTCAGAATGCCCAAGAACAGGTGACATGAAAACAGTGGCTTCTGCTTAGGCCTTTCCTCCCAGGAGGCCCTTGTCCTTCTTTGTGGGGCTCCCTTAACTGACCCTGGGCTTGTTGGGACGGGAACCTGCTGGACTCATTCTGTGGTTTGTTTTGTTAAGACGCCTTGTGTTTTAGTGCTGATCAGAGTGAAAGCTGTGAGCTGGTGATTGTCCTGATTCTTGTCTGCACGCCTTGGGGTGACCAGGGCGGTGATGTCACTAGCCCTCCTGTGTCTGAATCAGAAACCTTTTCATTTTCACACAAGGAGACCAAGACACAGAAAGAGCATGTGATCTGTCTGAAGTCACATTAGGGACAGAGCTGTGACTGTGGCTCAGGTGTCCTGACTCCTGGTTTTATTTCTTTATTCTGTACTGTTGTTGTATTTTTTAAAAATAATTAACTTGTATTTGTGCAAGTTGGCATCTATGAAAATTCAGTGTCCTAGCCAAGAGTTGAATGGACACTGTGGGGCTGTTCCCAGCCTGTGAGTGGGCAGCATGAATGGGGCCCATTGTATCTCTGGATTTCTAACAAGCAACAATGGGAGGCCCTGTTGAGAGCCTCCTGAAGTAACTTAACCTCCTGCCTTGTCTCAATGAGGAAGCAATAGGAAAAGGCAGCCCCAGGCCCTCTGGGGAGGTAACAGTGAATTACTATAAACTGTGCCGTTTGGGGAGAAATATAAATTCAGTTATGAAGAAAGCAAGTTTCTCCCTGAGAGCAGTGACTGCATGGGCAGACGCACAGCCACGTCCTTCCACGTACTTTCCCCAGGCATCCTTCCTGTGTTTCTCAATGTTCTCTATTTTTTTTTTTTTTGCACTTTATACAAATTAAAAACATTTTTACTGCTTCTTATAAACTTAAATTCTACTAGGTGCTTTGCCAACTGAACAAATTAGGGGACCTCAGCTATGTAAATGCCTTATTTGGAACTTCTAATGTCTTTTGGGTTTTTTGAGGGGGGTGGGTCTCTGGGTCAACAAGTTGACCCAGTAGAAAAAGGTGCTTGCTGCCAAGCCTGATGACCCGAGTTTAATCCCCCAGATTGACATGGTGAAGGGAAAGAATTGACTTTTACCAATTGTCTTCTGACCTCCACGTATGTGCCATGGCTCATGTGTGTGCACACATATACATGCATACCCATGTACACACTCAATAAATAAAAGAAAAATTAAAAAGGGATCTCCCTGTGTTGGAGTCCTGGGTTCAAACTCTTGTCTGGCCTCGGCCTCCCAGGAGGCCGGTCCTGCAGAGGAGTGCTGTGGTGCCTTAGCAGTGGGTTGTCTCCGTTTGCTGTCTCATGACCATCACTCACTGAAGTGTCACACACCAAGAAAGGCCGACCACCGCTGTCACCTAGGGGACTGTGTGTATGCCACCACCGTTTCATAGAGATGAAGTTCTTATTCACAGAAGTCCCTGTTTAACTTAGATTCAGTAGTGATTGTACATTCACAGTGCTGTGCAGCTCCCAACCTAGTGCCAGGTTATTCCCATCACCCCCTGCAGGAAAACCTGCATCTAGTAAGCAATCACTCCGACATGCCTTCCTCCCAGCCCTCCAGCCTCCACTGATCGGCTCTCCTGTCTCTATGGACTTACCTCTCTGGATAGTTCACATGAATGGATGTGTGATTATGCACTATATGGCCTTATTATGTGTCTGGCTTCTTCACTTCATGCAATGTTTGTAGGGCTAACCTACATTGTAACACACTTCAACACTTCATTCCTTTTTGATGGCTGAATAATACTTCACAGTATAAATACGATGTTTTGTTTAGCCATGTGTTTGATGAACGTCTGAGTTATTTTCATACTTTTCAGCTCTTGTGAATAGTGCCACTATGAAAATTTCTACACAAGTACTTGTTGAATGCCTATTTTTCAGTTTCCTTTGGGTCAGTACCTAGTAATAGAATTGTTATGTTACTTTTAAGCCATAGCAAGATTATCCTTTGCCTCATGATCCCCCAGTAAACCAAGGATCTAAGAGTATTTTTCATGTGAAAGAGCCTCATGTCAATCTGGAGCCCTTAATCTTGGTGTCCCTTAATCATTTTTAAAGAGTAGCACCAGGTGGCTAGGTATAGTGGCATCACCTGTAACTCCAGTACTGGGAAGCAGAGACTGGGACATGAAGAATTGGAGGCCAACCAGGGCTTCTTGGTGAAACCGCATCTCATGCCAAAAATCGAACCAAACAACCAGATGAGCATAGACAGGTACTTACTGTTCATCACACCCACCTATCCTACTTAAAGTTATCCTCCATTAAAAGATGCTGACATTTGTGGTTACATCAGTTACTTCATCTTTTTCCTTTTTGGTTTTTCAAGACAGGGTTTCTCTGTGTAACAGTCCTGGCTGTCTTGGAACTCGCTTTGTAAACCAGACTGGCCTCAAACTCACAGTGTGCCATCACAGCCGGCAAAGTTACTTCATCTTATGGAGCCTCACCCTTTTCAGTGGAGCTAGTAACGCCTACCTTACACCTTAGTTTGCATTTCCCTCCTCAGGATTAGCATTGGTGCTGCTCTGCCATTCGGCTGCTCATTTTAGCACTGTGTGACATCTGCTTCCCCATGTCGTGTTCATCAGTGAGTTCTGTGCAGTGCAGTTATTAAATGCTTGTAAGCCGTCCGCGTCTCCTGTTCCCATTGCATACCTTTTCAATCTCTGGAAGTTGGAAGGTCCTGATACACAGCAGCTAGCCTTTATACATATATGTGTGTGTGTGTGTGTGTGTGTGTGTGTGTGTGTGTGTATTGTGGGTTTTTGTTTTTTGTTTTTTCAAGACAGGGTTTCTCTGTAGTTTTTGGTGCCTGTCCTGGATCTCGCTCTGTAGACCAGGCTGGCCTCGAACTCACAGAGATCTGCCTGGCTCTACCTCCCGAGTGCTGGGATTAAAGGTGTGCGCTACCACTGCCCAGCTGACTTATAATATTCTTATGTCTGGATGTTTTGGGGAAATCACTGCACTTTAAGCCAGATGTGGTGGCACACACCTTTGATCCTAGCATTGGGGAGCAGAGGCAGGCACGTCTCTGAGTTCCAGGCCAGCCTGGTCTACAGAGTGAGTACCAGGCCAGCCAGGGCTACATACCAAGACCGTGTCTCAAAATAAATAAATAAATTTCCTCATTTTTCAAAGAATTAGGGCTGAAGCAAAAAATAAGTTCCAATAAGAGAATGTCTAAATGGACTGTTAGTGAAATCAATAAAACAAGACTTTGTGTTTCAGCATTTTGTTTGATCTTATGAATGGTACAACAGGTATTTTAGATAGATGGGTTTTCAAGGAGAAAACTAAGGCTTTGGGGCAAACAGCTTGTTAACTTTGATTGTTGGACCTTTCGCTGAAGGCAGAACACCAAGTCTTTTAGTGACTAAAAGACTGGGCAAGTCCTCCATTGACTCGGTGTCTTCTGCAGTAAATGATGGACAGTTGGAATTATTATGGACTAAGTGAACCCGGCCATCACCGCAGCGGTCAGTCACCTTCCTGTCTGCTGTTTGTTGTATTTTGTTTTTCTCCGTATTCTTTCTATTACAAAGACCTTTCTGTTACTTTGCCTCTCAAAATGTTTTTCCAACATTAGTATGTAAATTAAAACTGTCAACATCCCACACACAGTCTCCCAGGAACAAATAGCGCCATATAATTGCTTCCATTCTGTCTGGCCCTGGAAGTCAAAAAAGACATTAGAAACTGGAGAAATGTGTTCAATATTTCATCAAGTTTCTAAAATCCAGCTAAAAGTATGGCTTTTAGTAGATAATCCTCAAGTCTATGCCCCTTTGACACCCTAACTCACCTCCATTTTGAAATTTTTCTCACTATTTCAATTGACCTCCCAGTATAGAGACCATGTTGCTGGCAGGGCCTTGAACACAAGAGGACATGCTGTTCCCCACAGACCTAGCAATTACAAGTCTGAGGCTGTCAATTGGAAGCATCCTAATGTTTTGTCATTTGTCTGTAGGAATTTTGTTGCTTACAACCTCTGTCAACTGACTGGCTCAAATAACTGGAACCGGGGATGTATCTTAGGGAAGAGCACTCGCTACGCATGTGCAAGACCTTTCATAGTTTTGATTTTTAATCATTGTAAAATTGCTGTATCAAAAGTGTACATCCGACATACAGTGCTGTCCTCAGGAAAGCCATCATCTGCTTTGAGTCAGGGTCTCTCATTGGCCTCAGGATCAATGTTCAGGTTAGACTAGCCAGGGAACCCTAGGCATTCGCCTGTCTCTGCCTTCCTAGTACTAGGATTAACCAGCATGTGCCACCAAACTGGGTTCTGGGTTCTGAGGGTGGAATTTAGGTCCCTATGTGCAAGGCAACCATTGTACTTACTGATGCATCCCTCTAGGTTCTGGCCCTCCCACCCCAGTTTTTGAATGACAGCAGTCCTGAAAAGTTATTTCCAAGATCAGATATCAGCCATGGAGCCTCTGCTCCAATTTCTAGCAATTGTAACCATGAACTTCTGGTACATTCTCCAATGCCTCTGATGAAACCATGTTCCAGACATAATTTCAACACTTGAATTAAGAATGTAAGTTATCAGCCGGGCGGTGGTGGCGCACGCCTTTAATCCCAGCACTCGGGAGGCAGAGCCAGGCGGATCTCTGTGAGTTCGAGGCCAGCCTGGGCTACCAAGTGAGTTCCAGGAAAGGCGCAAAGCTACACAGAGAAACCCTGTCTCGAAAAACCAAAAAAAAAAAAAAAAAAAAAGAATGTAAGTTATCAGATGGGCAGTGGTGGTGCATACCTTTAATCTTAGCACTTGGGAGGCAGAGGCAGGTGGATCTCTGAGGTTAAGGCCAGCCTGTTCTATAGAGAGCATTACAGGACAGCTAGGGCTACACAGAAACCCTGTCTTGAAAAACAAGCAAACAAAAGAATGTCAGTTATCTTTTAAATTTTGTTCACTTGTCTTTTTTAGACAGCCTCACTCAGTGGCCCAGGCTGTCCTAGAATATACTGGGTAGTACTCTGGCATTGCAGACATGCAGCTCCACACTGGCCCCTAAGAGTGTGCTATCAAGTTGTCTGCTTGCTCTGAAATAAGTTAGCAGTCAGCTCTTTTTATTTATTTTTATCGCTGTCAAATTGCCATATTATTTGAGACTATACTATAAGAGGAGTTTATTGAGGGCTGGCAAGATGGCTCAGTGGGTAAAGGTACCTGCTGCCAAGTTTGACACCCTGAGTTCAGTCCTGGGGACCCACTTGATGGAAAGAGTGCCAAGTGCCCCAAGTTGTCCTCTGACTGTACTACCTACACACAAAGAAAATGATTTTTTTAAGCTGGGTGGTGATCGCACACACCTTTAATTCTAGCACGTGAGAAGCACAGGCAGGCTGATCTCTGGGTTCGAGGCCAGCCTGGTCTACATAGAGAGTTCCAAGACAGCCAGGGCTACACAGAGGAACCCTGTCTCAATAAAACAAAACAAAAATTTCCTTTAGTTCTGACCTTCTTTCCCCAGGATTCATTAGCCATGTCCCACTGGAAACTGAGGTAGTTTGCTTCAATGATAATCAAAGAGACCGGTAGTTTAGGTCAATGTAAATGTTTTTCCAGGATTAGATTGTAACTCATGGCCATGTCTAGGGTTTGGCCATGGTTTTAGGAAATATGAAGCTTTGCTATTTCATATTTGAAAACGGTGGTCATTTTTATTGGAATCTCAAGTTTAGAGCATGTTTATCCTGAGTCTTGACAAATTGTACCTTAGGTCCACTTTGTAAAGTTTAGACCTAATGAAATATTATTTCATACTTACTCAGAGCACTTGTTCTCATGGAGCACACCCAGCAAACCCTGTCCATGGCCTCAGCCTCCTGATTCCTCCCTCGGGTCGTCTTCTGGAAGTATGAATGGCTTGTTGCTATGCTAGGAAATAGCAAGAGCAAGATTCCATACGAAGGTATTAGAAAACTGATGCCTTTCTTCAGGAAGTCAGACCTCCAGCAGCACCTTTGCCAGCTTGGCATTTCTGACCACCTATGTTACTTGTGCCAGAGTGGGAGGTACATTGTGCCAGATTGTTTGGCTTTGGGGAATCTCACTCTCTCTCTTTCTCTCTGTTAAACAGTGCTGGGGATCAAACCCCAGAGCTCACACATGCTAGGCAAGTGGTCCACCTCTGAGCTGCACTCCAGCCCTGCAGTTCTCCTCTTCTAACCCGGCTCCACCTCTTTCTAACCCGGCTCCACCTCTTTCTAACCCGGCTCCACCTCTTTCTAACCCGGCTCCACCTCTTTCTAACCCGGCTCCACCTCTTTCTAACCTGACTCCACCTCTTTCTAACCCGGCTCCACCTCTTTCTAACCTGGCTCCACCTCTACCTGCATTTTAAGTTTGTGTGTTATGTATTTATTTTAACAGAGAGAGAGAGAGAGAGAGAGAGAGAGAGAGAGAGAGAGAGAGAGAGAGAATATGTGTCATGGCACACTTGTGCAGGTCAGAGAACAACCTCCAGGAGTCAATTCTTTTCTTCCACAATGTGGGTTTCAGATTGAATTTAGGTCATCGGGCTTGAGGGCCAAGTGCCCTTAACTGCTAGTATCTCTCTGGACCTGACCTCAGAATTTCTACATAGCTCAGGGTGACCTCAGTGTTCTTGCTTCAGCCTCCTGGGTGCTGGGATTACAGGTTTATACCTAGTTTTTCTCCCACTTCTCAAGGGCCTTCTATATACTCATAAATATTTCGTGAAGAACTGCTTTGAAGCTACCGTATAAAGAATTATGTGGGGGCTAGGGAGATGGCT